ACTCTTTACTACCCCTGGTGTGATGATGAATCCAAGCCTTATCCATGTAACTAGTAAAAAAATAAATTCAATTATGGATATAATATAATTGATGCAAGTTGAATATAAACAAAAATTAAATACATAAATAAAATAAACAAGAAAAAAGAGAGAGAGACCTCATTGAGAACACTGAAACAATAACTATAGAACCATATGAGTTTGGTTTACAAGAAAGAGAGAGTAAAACAAGTCTCTAAGAATATACATGCATACACTGCATAATTATGAATGTCAAAGGGAATTTGGGGGGAAAACAATAATCCTTACAGAAGCTTTGTCAAGCATTCTGAATCCTACACCAATAGCAATGACTAGAAGGCCCTGTCAAAAAAGATAGTCACTATATGTTAGTAAGAATACATGAGAGAACATCACAGTTCCATCGGTTTCATTTTTATAAACAAATTTAATTACATCAGACATACCAACAAGATATATAGACAAGAAACATAAATGCTGGAAACGAGGTTAATCTGGATCAAGAATAAACACCTCTCTTGTGTAATCTAACAGTCCTGTGAGTTATGAATCTCGCACTGCTCTGTACAAATCAGTAGGAATAATGGGCTTTTATGCACAGATAAGTAACCAAATCAGAACATAACGACCAATTGATTTATAGAGTGCATCATTACTTGGACAAGATATCACCAATATACATATAAAATATACAACCAGAACAATCATTATGCACATAGCCATCTAACGGTGGAGATATAATGGTTGTGTTTAGTATGTTGAAAGGGTGCGGGAGAGAATGCTGGGGAGCTTTTTTTTCCATAAATTTAGTGAACTTAAAACTTCCATGCCATCTCTTTCAAAAGTTCATTGAAGAATTTGTGTACACGAATACCTGAAAAAAATTACGCTTATGCTTTTCAAGGGATTGAATACCTCCGAATCAAAAGACAATCATAAAATCAACTTGATACCCACTGAACAATTCCAATGTAAATCAGTTTTTCAATTTCTCAACATGGATTCCAATTTTTTGTCTTTTCTTCATTTGAAGTCATTAATATTTCAACATGTTGATTTCAAATTTCAATTTCGGGATGTTAAACATAGTCCACCTACGTATATGGATTCAATTGCTATTGTTTGCATAAAAATTGAAAAAGAAAAAAAAAATAAAATAAACAAGGTACTAAAACACATACCTAATATATACATACATGCCTCTGAAAATTGGGGGAAATTTATCAGAAGTGTGGAGGTTATTGAAGAAATTACGCACACAATAACCGTAAGATTGATTACAAAAACTTATGGATAGTTATCGATTTCAATCACCGATCGAGAGAGAGAGAGAGTGAGCTCCAATTGACACGAGAGAGATTAGAAGCAGCAAAAAAATAGACCTTCCAAATTTAATCGATCCTCCTTACTATGCATCTACAAATGAATTCCTTCTTAGCCCTGGTTTTTCGTATGTGTATCGCTTTACGCTGAAAAGAGTGTGGCAAGCTGAACCGGCATAAAGTAGCTACAATTGGTGCGGTGCCGTCGGCTGTACAAAGAGAGATGAGAATGAGAAGCTGAACTGACCAGCGTGAGATAGTTGCAACTAGTGCGGCGTCAGCTGTACAGAGAGTAGAAAGATGATATATGTTGTTGTTAGGTTAAGTTGTATAGTGAGAGATATGAGAATGAGAAGAAAGAGAAAGTGGGTTTCCAACTTTACAATACCCATGGTGTAGTATAGAAAAATTTTAATATTTTACACGTGCAAATTTGGAATTAGGAAGGGAGGAAAATCAAGCGTCAAATTTTCCCAAATATACAATGCAGCCAAATTTTCCCACCAAAAATATTCCGGTTATTTTTTAGCTCATTTGGAACAGTAGATATGTTATTGTCCCAAAAACCAGGATCATTTGAGATGATTTTTAAGCCGTCCCAAATAATCTGTCCCAAGAGCCTTATTTTCCCACCAAAAATATTCCAGGTTATTTTTTTTTCCTCATTTGGGACAGTAAATATGTTATGGTCCTAAAAACCAAGCTCATTTGGGACAATTTTCAAAGTGTCCCAAATAATTCGTCCCAAAAGCCTCCTTTTTCTTGTAGTGCACACACAGACACACACACACACACACACACATATATATAGAAACTAAGGGGAGAAAGAGAGAGAGAGACAACTTTCATCACTAATGTAGTATACTGAAGATACGTTATAACACACATATATATAGAGAGAGAGAGTATTTGTCATGCCTAGTGGTCCGTGGTGTTAATGTGATCTAGGGGGAACTATGAAGAAACCCTAACGTGGTTGAGCTAACTAGGCCCGAAATGATGCTCTGGAGTTGCCTTGTGGTCAGGAATAGTTAGCCAATCCTTCTCTCGTGACGTCATAGAGCTGTTATGGGTCGGATTGCATTAACGGTTTGCAAACGGTAAAACGGAAATGTTTTGGAAAATGGGGAGTGATATTGCATTCCATTAGCACGGCATGACTTATTCATGGCTTGCTTATTATTGTTATTATTATAATCTTTCCCAGCACAATATGACCCCGTACTCTTATATTCTATACTTTGTTTGGATTCTCATTTTTGTATAACCATGGTAAAACATGTACAGCCTTGTATATTTTGTGGCATGTAATTGTGATTATAAACCTTGATAGTATTTTGATGTAATGTATTCTGAGAATGGCCATTGAAATATGTAATGACTATATTAGCATATTTGAATTGGATGGGATGATGGTGGGTTATCTTGTGAACCTTATTAACGTTTATGATTATGGGTATTGTGTTGCATTTGCCGTGAGTTGGGACAGGTTTCTTAACAGGTTTTGGCTTACAAACGATCGAGCCAGGTTGATTACATGAACTTAAAGCCCTTAGAGGACCTCGGGTTCAGGTAAGGACCCAGATAGCGATTCGGACCTCCAGGTTCGGATCGTTACAAACATATTCTCATATGTCGTTACTCTTGATATTAATAATGAGGATCTGGAATCTAAAAAGGTCAAAGAGTGTCACCGAAAAAATGAATGGCCAAAATGAAAAGAAGCGATACAAGCAGAGCTATATTCATTGACCAAATGTGAAGTATTTAGACCTATAGTCCAAACACCTGAGGGTGTCAAGCTTGTTGGGTACAAATGGGTATTTGTACGAAAATGTAATGAGAAAAATGTAATTATAAGATACAAAGCCCTACTAGTAGCTCAAGATTTCTCATAGAGACCTGGTATTGATTATAAGGAAACATACTCTCCGGTGATTGATGCAACCACATTTAGATTTATAATACATTTGGCAATCACAGAAAGATTGTATATGCATCTAATGGACGCGGTTACAATATATTTATATAGATCACTAGATAGTGATATTTATATGAAAATCCCAGAAGGATTTAAAATGCCTGAAACAAAATCACATCGTATGTACTCGATAAAATTACAACGATCATTATATGGATTGAAACAATCTGGACGAATGTGGTACAATTGCCTTAGCGATTACTTAATTACTCAAAAAATGGTATATGAACAATCCTCTTTATCCATGCATTTTTATTAACATTGGACGAGATCGAAAAGACAGCCTCTTATTTATAGAAAGAATTCGAATTAAAAGATCTCGGAAAGATAAAATTCTGCCTTGGTCTGCAGGTTCAACATTTTTCGAGCGGTATTCTCATCCACCAATCAACATATACAGAAAAGGTTCTGAAATGGTGTTATATAGATAAAGCCCATCCATTAAACTCTCCAATGGTTGTCCAATCACTTGATATCAAGAAAGATCATTTTCATCCTCGAGAGGATGATGAAGAACTCTTTAGTCCTGAAATTCCCTATCTTAGTGTGATTGGTGTTCTTATGTATCTTACAAATTGCACACGGTCTGAAATAGTCTTTTCAGTTAATTTGTTAGCAAGGTACAATTCTGCACCAACCCGCAGACATTGGAATAGAATCAAACACATATTGCAATATCTTTGTGGTACAATTGATATGGGATTATTTTATTCAAAAGAACCAAATTCTTAATTAATTGAATATGCAGATGTCGGCTATCTCTCTGACCCACATAAAGCTCATTCACAAATAAGATATTTTTTACCTGTGGTGGCACTGCTATATCATGGCGATTTATGAAACAGATAATGATTGCAACTTCTTCAAATCATTCTGAGATACTCGCAATTCATGAGGCAAGTAGGGAATGCATTTGGTTGAGGTCAATGATCCAACATATTCGAACAACATGTGGTCTCTAATCAATAAAAGATAGCCCAACAGTAATATATGAAGATAATGCAGCATACATTGCACAAATGAAAGAAGGGTATATTAAAAGTGACAGGACCAAGTACATCTCACCAAAATTCTTTTATGCACATGAGCGCCAGAAAAATGGTGATATTAATATTCAGCAGATTCATTCATGTAAAAATCTAACTGATTTATTTACTAAATTTTTCTTAACAAGGTTTTAACGAGGCATATTCTTAATATAATGCAGTGGATCCCAAGGGGGAATGTTATAGAAGCGAGATTCACATATGAAGACTTCAAAAGTAAGCCATATACCTTGGCGTGGGGAGAAAGGCTGCACTTTTAGCTTACATTGAAAGCTTCTGTTTGTGCCTATATAAATCTGTGATTGCTCTAAGAATATACTTGTGAAATATATCAATGAAAGTTCTTTTACTTTCTTATCGATTAGTATTACTCTATATATATACATACATATTTATAATAATAATAATAATAATAAAAAATATATATTTAAATCATTTTCATCAGGTGTATTGCATGTGCATGTGCAACTTTAGCTAATATATCTAAACTAAGGAGGGAGAGAGAGAGATAGAGAGCTTTCATCACTTATGTATACTGATCACTAATGTATACTGTTATAACATCCCACCAATTAAATTAATGCAACTCACCCCAGCAATCTCATTCTTGCAACACACTCCACAGATCACATTTTACTATTTACAATTTTGGCACCACATTATACACGCAGTACTGCATCTCTTGATACTTGATGGAGGGACTCCATATCATACACGTACAACACAACAATTATTTTATTTTCTGAGTGGATGAAAGATCAATAAAGTAGTTTTTAATCCATCCTTTAATGATGTCTATCTCTGTCTGTCGTTGCTTGATCAACCAATCTGGATCAGTCTCCTTTGCCCTATGTATGTCTAAACAATGAGATCCTACAAATTAAAGTAGATATGGTAAGTCCCTTGAAACATTAATACTATTTAGGGTTGTAAATATAGATATATATATAACACAAAATAGGATAACCCATTTATCTTAGGTGGCAATTCGTGGATTTAAAAATAATCCTAGTTCATTTTGATCAATAAAGAAAAGTATTTGAAAGATCTCAATTCAAAGTCTAAAAATAAAAAATAAAAAAATAAGAAAAAAAATATAACTATTGTAACGGTCCTCAAATGACAGTGGGGTATCTACATATTTTTGAAATAGTATAAGCACGCGATTTTTAAACAAAAATGAAAATTCAAGAAAATGTTCTACAAAAAAATCGTGAATATTGAGACTGATATAGGTTTGACGAATAATATAAAAACATATATATATAATATGTGTGTGTGTGTGTGTGTGTGTGTAAGCATGTAGATATATATCATCTCATGTGTCTTAATTTTGTATTATATATGCTTGTAATTATAAGCCTCCACCTACCATTTGCGGTATTGATGGAAAGAATAGTGTCTGATATGCCATCCAACACCCTGTTGTTAGAGGAGAAAATAGTCATATTAGGTCAATTAGACTATCTATAATTAATATTATCCATTTACAAAGTACTTATAAAGTCTTTTTCAAATACCCGCCAATGCTATAAGGATCTTTCATTCCATTGGAGAAAATGATGTTGCTACCAAACCTTTGGAGAACCAATCTTATATCCTACAATGAGCCATGAAAAAACACTTCGTCACTTCTAAAAGTTATTAAATATTATATGACTAAACTGAATATTATATATAATTATTGGTAGCACTTAGAAATATAATTGAAAAAATAATCAAAACCACATACATGGCCTCCATAATAGGTTGTGACCCAATGAGGTCTTGGTGGGACGCCAAACGAGCTAACACAGTCCTTGGTGAAGTTATTTAAATCGAAAAAATCAGTTTCGAACATAGATTCATTCCCATGACCAATGGGCATCACCATCTCACTGCACATCTAAAGACACCAACCAATAATTCTGTTACATTTTTCTAATTAACTATGTATATGTGTGTGCATATATATATATGTGTGTGTGTGTGTGCGCTTACTTACTTGCCATCTATACCCATCAGGTGTATCATTGGGATTTTTGGTCATATTATAGCATGGTCGAACCCCTCTATAGGCAACGACACCAGCAAATATCCGGCTAAAAATATCGGTTCCTTGAGGTGCTCCATCAATGGCAGCACAGATCCTAGAAACCGGATATTTTGGTGGATGATTATATTGAGCTGCAACGGTATATACGGTGGCTTCTAAGTAGTCTTTGAGGTCTTCTGATGAGTTTAAGGGCCTGAACCAATTTGAAAATCATTCATTTTTGTCAAGGATAAAAATGAATAAATAATTAATCATTAAGACAATCTATATATATATATATATATCATCTATAAACACACACGGGGTATATAATTACGCACAAGCAGGTCTTGAATTTTTGGCTAAGGATTGAAAGACCATTCTGCTGAGAACCAATTTTATCAATTTCAGACCACGATTGTTTTATAGTCTGGTAGCAAGTCTCACTGGCTTCCTGCAACAGTACATATTTTATTATATCGACCAGACTTGAAAGGCTCAAATAAAGTTGAAAGAAAAAATGACACAAATTAATTTAATTGGTTTTAATTAATTAATTTGTACCTTGAAATCCTTTGTGATGATCTTAAAATACCCATCTTGTGGAGTGATGTCATCGAAGTACAGGACAGGTGCCGATGAGGCTAGGGCTCCGAGGGCGATGTGGGGATAGTGCAGCCGAAACCATGTTGTAAGTTCTAAAAATTTTGTAGTATAGTATGGGAATTAATTAAATAATTAAGAAAAAAAAATTGATGTGTGTATATATATCTATCTATCTATATTAGTTATAATTGGATAATATATTAATGCTTACTTCCTCCATAGGATCCTCCAATGGCAATAACCGGAGAGTAGTGAGCAGAAAATTTCTCCTTCACGTGTAAGATTATTTCTGCATAATCTGCTATTGCTTGAGCTGAATTGAAATAACCGCGAAGAGTAGAATTTTTCAACGCTTCTCCAAATGATATGAATGGAACTGATTGTCCATAGTACCGATGCTGATATATTAGCAAACAAACATGAATGCAGTTTAACATATATAAAAACTAATCAAAACAGTGATATATATATATATATATATATATATGTATATAGAAAGATGTATTTAGGCCTTGGATTTAGTACTCTACCTCTATATAGATTAAGAGAGCTTTAAGATGAGGGGCATTATCTTCAAGAAATCCAATATTATATATTTGATTATCTGTCAATGGAGACTCGGAACCAAAATAAACCAAGATTGGCGCGTTTTCCTTTGCGCCACCCCAGTATTTGGAATTTATCACATATTTTTGTTGGAAAGTGGCATAGCTTTCAGGCTTGTAATTGAAATGATCGAGTGTTTGGTTGTAGAAAAAGTGTTCAAAGTCTTTTGAGAGTTTTACTTCTTCTGCTGCTTGTGTTCCTATTCGACGTTCTTCTTCGAAATTTCCTCCAAAAACACTGAGCCTTGGTATATTATATTGTTTGGCAGACACAATGGTTGATGAGGAGATTAGAGAAAGCAAAGAAAGCCACTGAAACAAAAGTGTAAGCAAGGTCGACATTGTAATTATATGGGTTGAGAAAACTAGAGAAATTAATCAATGTCTCGTAATTCTCAATTTGAAGCCGGTATGGTATGTTCTGCTATGAATGTGCATTTATATATATATATATATATATATCTCTGGACTTTGTTTCTTTAATAGGAAAATTATCATTAGATTACGTTGACGGGGTCATTTGAATAGATGCACATGGATAGAATTAGTTTATTACCTTTGGATCTCTAGAAGTAGATGTGTTGTCAATTTCCATCATTAGGCTGAAATCTTGGGACTGGATTTGTTTTTCAAACTTCCCTTTTGTCACCTTCCATCTATGGCTTTTTTTGTTATATATAGTAGTGTTTGATCCTTTTTTTATACTTGTGGCTTGGTAGGGTTTGTTTGAAATAGTGAGCCTTTGGGTGGTTGGCTATATTTGTTGTTAGCCAGGTGGTTTGTATAATATTGCGTACAGTTTTTTAATAGTAGTCTATTTATCTTATATCTATATCTATACTATTATTAAATGTGCAAACACTTTCAGTATTTCATTATTTCAATATTTATTTATTTATATAAAAAAAATATTTATTAATTGATATAAAAATAGTTTCAGTATTTCAGTATTTCAATATTTATTAATTTATATATATAAAAAATATTTCTTAATTGACATAAAAATAGTTTCTATAAAACTCTAAAAATTACCTAATAAAATCAATCACAATAAAATATATATTAATTGATATAAAAAGAATAATTATTTTTTTTATGAATAATTATCACAATATGACCGGCTCGACCGAATTAGGATTATGTCATTATCACAAGAGGACAAATGTTATCATTCTATTAATCCAAAAAATCTATAAATAAAGGCATGGAGGAAGGATGAAGTGGGTACAGAAATTGAGAATTCTATAAATCCAGAATTCCAGAGTAAATACAGAAACTCTGCCAAAAAGTTTCAGTATTTATTTATTTATATAATTATATATTAATTGATATAAAAAGTGTTTTTAGTTATACTATTATTAAATGTGCAAGGAGTTTCAATATTTATTTATTTATATAAAAAAATTTATAAATTGATAGCAAAAGAGTTTTTATAATAGAAAAACTCTATAAAACTCTAAAATCTACCTAATAAAATTTAAATTAACCTATTTATCTATTTATTATTACTAATTTTTTAATTAAAAAAATCTAATTTTATACTATTATTAAATGTACAAAGAGTTTTAGTATTTCAGTATTTATATATTTATATAAAAAATATTTATTAATTGATATAAAAATAGTTTTTATAAAAATAATTTCCCTAAAACTCTAAAAATTACCTAATAAAATCAATCACAATAAAATATTTATTCATTGATATAAAACGAATAGTTATTTTTTATAGATAATTATCACAATATAACCGGCCCGATCTAGTTATGATTATGTCATTACTAAGAGATGATACATGTCATCATCTAATTAATCCAAGAAGCCTATAAATACAGGCATGGAGGAAGGAGAAAGGGTTACAGAAATTGAAAATTTTAGAAATCTAAAATTCAAGAATAAAATATAGAAACTCTGCAAAAGAGTTTCAATATTTATTTATTTATATAAAAATATATATATATTAATTGGTATAAAAAGAGTTTTTATCTATACTATTATTAAATGTGCAAAGAGTTTCAGTATTTATTTATTTATATATAAAAAAATATTTATTAATTGATATGAAAAGAGTTTTTATAAATAAAAAAAAATTTTAAAAAAAAACTCTCTATAAAACTCTAAAATCTACCTAATAAAATTTAAATTAACATATTTATCTATTTATTATTATGAATTTTTTAATAAAAAAATCTAATTAGACGAGAATTATTAATATAAAAAATATTTATTAATTGATATATAAAATAAAATAATTTTTCTAAAATTTTACCACAAATTAGCTTTTATTATGAGTTTCTTAATAAAATTAAATCTAATTAGACAATGATATATTTAAATAAAATGATTTCTATAATTTCTGTAAAACTCTATTACAAATTACCTATTTTATTTTCAACAAAATTCTATCACACATTACCTATTTATCTATTTATTATGAGTTTTTAAATAAAAGGAAATCTAACTACACAAGTATTATTACTATAAAAAATTGTTTATTAATTGAAATAAAGAGAGGTTTTAAAAGAGTTTTTATAAAGCTATAAAACAAATTACCAATTTATCTATTTATTATGAGTTTTTAATAAAAGGAAATCTAATTAGACAAGAATTATTAATATAAAAAATATTTATTAATTGATATAAAAAGAGTTTTTATTAAACTCTGACACAAATTACCTATTTATTTATTTATTATAAGTTTTTTATTAAAAGAAAATCTAATTAGACAAGAATTATTAATATAAAAATTATTTTTTAATCTACATAAAAATAAAATAATTTTTCTAAAACTCTACCAAAAATTTCCTTTTATTATGAGTTTTTTTTTTTAATAAAAGGTAATCTAATTATACAAAAATTATTAATACATAAAAATATTTATTAATTCATATAAAAAGAGTTTTTAAAAGATTTTATGTAAAACTCAATCACGTATTACCTATTTATCGATTTATTATGAGTTTTTTAAACAAAAGAAAATATAATTAAACAAGAATAATTTTAAAAAAAATAAAATTTTTCTATAAAATCTTTCACAAATTAGCTAAGTATAAAATCTACCTAATAAAATTCAAATTAACCTATTTTTCTATTTATTATTATGAATTTTTTAATAAAAGAAAATCTAATTAGACAAGAATTATTAATATAAAAATATTTATTAATTAATATATAAAATAAAATAATTTTTCTAAAAATTTACCACAAATTAGCTTTTATTATGAGTTTTTTAATAAAATGAAATCTAATTAGACAAAAATATATTTAAGGAAAATAAAATAATTTCTACAAAACTCTATCACAAATTACTTATTTTTTCTTAAACTCTACCACAAATTAGCTTTTATTGTGAGTTTTTAATAAATGTAAATCTAATTAGACAAGTATTATTAATATAAAAAATTATTTATTAATTGATATAAAAAGTGGCCGGTTTTCAAACAGTTTTTATAAAACTGTACCACAAATTACCTATTTTTCTATATATTAGGAGTTTTTTAATAAAAGGAAATCTAATTAGGGAAGAATTATTAGTATAAAAAATATTTATTAATTGATATAAAAAGAGTTTTTTAAATAGTTTCTATTAAACTCTAACAATTACCTATTTATTTATTTATTATAAAATATTTATTAATTGATAAAGAAAAATTATAAAAATAGTTTCTACAAAACTCGAAAAATTACTGACGAGACCCCTTTCTAAGTGCTTAGAAAACGGACTTTGTAATGCGAGAGGTCGCTTCGCAAAGTCAAAATATGAATGTGGTTTAGGAAGCCTTTCTAGTTAAATTTATATTTATAAAAACCACTACTACAACTAATGAAGCATAGCGAGTAGGGATCGTCTGCAGGGATTATACGTGTTGGAATATAATTCGACTCTAATGTACCAATTGATTGTAAAGAAAGAGATTGATTGATTAAACTAAAATGCAAAGAAATTAAAATGCAATTAAAATAAACTAAGTTAAGTTATGGATTGAAGACATGAAAAGTGAGGTCTTGGGGTCCGTTGGAATTGCCACCAAGCTTGTTCACCAAACCACACACTTTCAACTAATTTGGGGAAAATATTATTGTGAACAAAATGCGACTACCAATTGCAATTTTAAGCATGTACCATCAAATTCAATAATGAATTGCCTACCTAACCAATAATTAAATTAAGTGTAGAACAACCCATCAATTCTAAGAATGACCCATCAAACTAGTCACAATTGTAGTACACATTAATCTAGAAAATCATAGAATTTGCAATAATAAGCCATGGAATATCAAATCAAGTAACGATTGTCTACCTACCTACAAACATAAATTAAATTGTAGAACAACCCATCAAGTATAAGCATAATCCATCAAATTAATTGATAAACCTATCTAATAAAAACCATGTCTAGCCATCATTATATTCTCAATCAACCACACATAGACATGCAATTAATATAGAAAAACTAGTGTAGAAATCAATTCCCAAATAATCACACATAAGACAACATGTAATCACATAGAGAATCAATAGAAAGAATTAATCCATATAAATTAAAGGAGAACCCAAAATTCATTAAATTCACAAGGTTAAAACGCCAATCACAAAATATTATTTCCCAAAAAGTATGAAAGAGATAGAGGTTAGATTATAAACTTGGGGCTCATCCAAGCCCCAAGAAAAAGTCTAGCCAATCATGGAGGAGGTGGGTGTGATATTGGATCCCTAAAGGGTAATCCCCAAACATAGCTCTATCTTCTTTCTCATTTTCTTTGTTGAATTCTAGAGAGAGAGAGAGTGTGTAGATGTTGAGATGTGTTATTAGTGCCTCCACTCTTCTCTTTTTTTCTAACCCTAATCTCCAACTTTTCTAAAGAGAGAAAATAAAAATTACAATGTAAAATTAAAATGAAATTGAAGACAAAAGATTGATTTCATAATGGTTCAATTCCCCCTTTACACAAGGTCCTTGGAGTAGTGAACAAGTCAGAAAATAAGCCCTTAAAATATCTAATCTCGCAACTATGTGGTAGGTGGAGTTCGGGCACGCGGGAATAAAAACAGCTCGCTACCAGCACATTTTCGATCAATCGAAAAATTCTCAATCGATCCAAATCCACTGGTGGCGAAATTCTGCATTTTTAATCTTTTTCCGGATTTTTAAAGAAATCTTCTCGAAACTTTTGCTTGAATCCAAAAAGGCTGTAATAGACCTTTTTTAGCCCGTTTGAACCTTATTGACCTGAAATAGACAAAAACACAAATAAGTACTAAAATGAAAAAATAAAAATAGATGAATGGACTAAAATACCTTTACTTAGGTGCTAAAATACGTCACATTTGAGCACTCATCAAT